ATCACGAAAATGACGATCGGGGCTTTTTTGCGGAAAAGCGCGTCTAGATTGGCAGGACGCTTTTCCGGAAAAGCACTTTTTGCGGAAATCTAAACGCGCTTTTCTGAAAAAGCTTTTAACAGAAAACTTTTCCGTTAAAAGTATTTTCGGAAATTCATGCCAGTGTAGACGTAGCCCAAGAGTTCACATCTGTAATGAAAAAATTCTAGTTTAAATATCAGAGGGGTAGCTGTGTTAGTCTGAATCTGCAAAAGCGGCGAGGAGTCCTGTGGCACCTTATAGACTAACTGAAGTGTTGGAGCATAAGCTTTCGTGGTGCAGCAAAAAAACTTCAGGACCAGACTTCAAAGAGAAACTGCTGAGCTACAGTTCATCTTCAAGTTTGACACAATCAACTCAGGATTAAACAAAGACTGTGAATGGCTAGCTAACTACAAAAGCAGTTTCTCCTCTCTTGGAATTCACACCTCATGATCAGCTACTAGAAGTGGGCCTCATCCTCCCTGACTGGATCGACCTGGTCATCTCCAGCCTGATTCTGGCCTGCATATTTATATCTGCCTCTGGAAATTTCTACTACATGCATCTGACGAAGTGGGTCTTTGCCCACGAAATCTTATGCTCCAATACTTTGGTTGGTCTATAAGGTGTCACAGGACTCCTCGCCGCTTTTGGAGTACCGATTGTTATGCACGCAGCCGAAAGTTTATCACCACCGACGGAGTAGAGGCCCTGTCAGGAGCACACCAGGACGATCCAGACCAGACGACACTGACACTGACAGTTCAGATGACCGAAGGTACTGAGGTACGAAAACACCGAGGTACGACAGTACCGTCTCTCTGTGCGTTTGGCCATACGGTGCAATGAAACCAGGCTCTTGCCACTAGTTTTTTGTGACATTTTTATGAGTTTTCAATACAATCCTAGATAGACCTGATGGGGCCAGTATGTTGACCACTGGGGGGCAGCATTGTCGACCACATCTTCTCTCTGAACACCCAACCTGTGAGCTACTCTGTGCAATAGCTGCTGCAGAACTCGGGGCGTCCTCAAGGGCACTGGCTACAGACAAGCCTCACTAGGTCTCGGCAGGTGAGGAGGAGGATGACACTAGTAATGAAGGAGGCTGCTCCCTCCCATTCCCACCAGCAGGGTCTCTAGAACTCAGCAGTACGGGCAATGCATAAGGTAGTGGTCAACAACTGCTAGATCGGGATCTACCAATGGATCTTGGAGCCTCTGACAGATGATCCCGATTTATTTGGCCGGGAAGCATCAAGAGCTGCACTTCATCTGCCCCTGCACCCACTGACATGCTGCTCCTGCCCTCTGCCTTGGAGCTGCCCTCCGGGGAGCTACCTGATCGCTGTGCAGGGTGGGGGAGGGAGAAGAGGGAGGGATTGATGTCAGGGTATCCCTCCTCCCTCCACCTGTGTACCTTGTCTCCACACAGCAAGAAAGGGATGGAGGAAGGTTGGCAATGCAAATCTCTGTCACTCTCACACACTGCGTGTCTCTGTCATTCTCACAAACACACGCTGTCCTTCACTCGCATCTCCCGCCCACGTATGGGGGATGGTTGTTACTTCTGTTACTGCTTGCAAAGTGGGTTATTTTCGGGGTTTGGCTGGTCTGTACATGTCATAATTTAACTTTTCTGGAGTGCAACCCCTGGCTTCTGCCCTGACCCTGCTGGAAGGCCCAGGGGGTCCAAAAGGGCTATTGTGTGGGGTCCTGCTGTTGCAGTGGCTACTGGGAATAGTTGGGCCTTCCTCAGTGCCCGAATGATGATGTCCTGCTGCTGCTGTACCCCAATCTGTAGGAGTCAGAATCCAACTCATGGGGGAGGGCCTGCACCTTTCAATAAAAATGGCCACCGGACTGTGCCAGCTCAGCTGATCGTCGGCATAGCGTGCAAGTCAAGACACGGACCAGTCGACAAGGAGGCCTGATCAAATTATTTCCACAACTATTTGTGACTTCATTGCTTATGTTGGGTAATCTAATTTACATGCCTCTGGCGACAGAAACTCCCTACTCTCATTTTTTAATTAGACATCCTCTCTATTCCATTCCTTCTGGTCTTATTATTTTTCAAGGCCTTCCCCATACTTGCTGGTCAAGCCCTTTTTTTATACAACATATATATTCTTAAACTTAAACCAACCCTGATTCATAATTTCATATTATTCTACACTTCCATATCAGTTTGAATTAAATATCCCAGAAAATGAATTTCAACCCAAATACTCCTATGAACTAAAAAAGTGATAGGAGTAGGAATGAGTAACTTATCTTAGTAGGAAACAAACATACCAGTAGTTTGTCCTAGAAAAGCCAAGATCACCAAGAAATGCATTCTTCTGCCAGGAAGAGTTGCAAAGATCTTCTCTTCTTGGTGTGTGTCTAATTCTAAAAACTGTCTTCTGGAGAGAGAGGAAAACAGAAGTTCAGTGAGCGCCACAAAAAGTAACAGGAAACAGATCATGAGAATTAAAATTCTGCCACTTCTGCTGTTTATTTTAGAATGGGAGACACTTCCACTACACACAAGCCTACTGTCATTCACTGATAACAGAGGTAATTTATACCTTGGCAAATAAAGTCCCAAGACTAGAGGCTCTTAGGCAGGAGGAGAAGGAATTCCACAGAATAGCACAAGGGCAGGCAATAATTTTTACATGTTTATGGGCTGGCTGACAGCCTGCCGGAAGGGGCCGGATCTCAGGTAGAAGGAATATGGCTAGGGGCTACAGAAAGAGAGAGAGAGAGAGAGAGAGAGACACTCCATGGCTATGTCTACACTCGCAGATTCTTACGCAAGTATGGCCGTTTTGTGCAAGAATCCGTAGAGCGTCCACAGTGCCCGACTGCTCTTGCTCAAGAAAATTTACAATACGGTGTGGTAAGAGAGAGCTCTTGCGTAAGAGCTACACTCTTTTTTAACAGGTATAAGCTCTCTTGCGCAGGAGCTCTTACGCAAGAGGGCAGTGTGGACACTCCGCAGGGATTTCTTGCACAAGAAAGACCTATGTCTAAAATGGCCATCAGAGCTTTCTTGCACAAGAGAGCGTCTAAACTGCCATGGGCGCTCTTGCGCAAAAGCACAGCTGGCACATGGCAGTGCGGATGTTTTCTTGCGCAAGACTTCTTGCACAAGAAACCTTGCGCAAGATGTTCTTGTGCAAGAAGCCGCCAGTGTAGACATCACCCATGTGTGGGAGACAGACTTTGTGGCAAAGGTCAAGTGTGTGTGGCACAGAGAATAGGAGAGTGTATGTGACAGTGACTGTGTGTGTGTGTGTTTGTGTAGCAGAGACAAAGTGGCACATACTGGGTGTTTGTGACAGTGACACAGAGTGTGTGTGTGGTGGCTGCTCCTGGTAAATTTCTGAGAGCAGCCATGCACTCTCTCTTTAAGACAGGAAAAGCTGTCTTGCTCTGTCGTCTCCCTCCTAAAGTGTGTGTGTGCGAGAGAGAGAGAGAGAGAGAGAGAGAACAAATTGAGTGTGTGTGTGAGTGATGGAGAGAGAAAGAGAGAGAACAAACACTGAAATCTTGGAAACAGGGCACCACCTCTTAAGACAGGCACTCCGCTGAGTCACTTACCATCCATGCTTCAGATTGCAACACTTCCGCTGTGTGTCTCCTTCTCCCTGACCCCCACCCTGCAGTCCCTGGCTAGACCCTGCGAATTCAGTGCAGGGCTGCCTCACCCCATCACAGGGTTGCTCCTGGGGAGTGGGGGAGCGGGGCAGAGGTGGGGAAGGAGCACTCTCAGCCACCTTGGCACCCCAGTGACTCTCGGTTTTGTGTGTCCCTCTGCAGGTGGTCAAGGCACATCAATAGAGTGCTGCTCTGCAGTCATCCGCCTCACTGATTTGGACATGGTCATTGAGGGGTTTGGCGTCCTGGGCTTCCCCAGTTGTGGGGGGGCAATCGACGGGACGCATGTCCCCATTTGTGCCCTGGAACACCAGGCCTCCCTGTACATTGACCGGAAGGGATACTTCTTGGTCATCCTGCAGGCTGTGTCTGACCACCGGGGCCAGTTCATGGACATCAACGTGGGCTGGGCTGGCAAAGCACACGATGTGCTGGTTTACCGCAACTCCTCCATGTGCCAAAGGCTGCATGCCAGGACTTTCTTCCCCGACCGCCACATTAGGATCGGGGATGTGGACATGCCTGTGTGCCTGGTGGGGGATGCAGCCTATCCCCTACAATCCTGGCTGATGAAACCCTACATGGGACACCTCAACCGAAGAAGCAGGAGAGGGAGCAGGACTAAGAGGAGGAGCGAGAGCTGGGGTGGCCACAGGGACTGGAGCAGCAGCAGGCAGCAATCTCTGCACCAGGGTCTGCAGGTGGTCACGGATGGCACAGCCCTGGTCAAGCAGCTCCCTCAAGCTCTCCCACGGCAGCTGCAGGTATTCATGCACCCAGTGCTCCTGGCTGCGGACCTGCCTTCACAGTAACTCCAGGTGCTGCTGCTGGTACTCCTCCTGATCAAGCAATTTGTCTCCTGCCATCCATCTCCAGCCTATGACTAACAGAGGCCAGGGGCACCATTCCTTCCCCCCAGCTAGTAGACTTTTATGGACCTAATCTCTATGAATTTATCTAGCTCTTTTTAAAACTCTGTTAAGGTCCTAGCCTTCACAGCCTCGTCTGGCAAAGAGTTCTACAGGTTGACTGCGTTCTGTGTAAAGAAGAAATTTCTTTTATTAGTTTCAAACCTGCTACCAATTAATTTCATTTGGTGTCCTCTAGTTCTTATATTATGGGAACAAGTCAATAACTTTTCTTTATTCACCTTCTCCACACCACTCATGATTTTATATACCTCTATCATCAGGGCTCAATAAACAATGTAATCTACTCTAGATTACACCCTGGAAGAGCCAGTGCAGAGTGACTTGCATATGCACAGAACCATCTGCACATGCGCAGTGCGCAGAACTGTGCGGCTGGCGAGCAGGGCTTGCCACCACTCAGCGACCCCTGTCTATCATATTCCCCCTTCCCCCCCAGTCTCCTCTTTTCTAAACTGAAATGTCCCAGTCTCTCTAGCTTCTCCTCATATGGGACCCGTTCCAAACCCCTAATCATTTTAGTTGCCTTTTTCTGAACCTTTTCAAATGCTGACTTATCTTTTTTGAGGTGAGGAGACCACATGTGTACACAGTATTCATGATGTGGGCGTACCATAGTTTTATATAGTGGCAGTAAGATATTCATCATCTTATTTTCTATCCCTTTTTTAATAATTCCTAACATCCTATTTGCTTTTTTGACCGCCGCTGCACACTGCATGGATGTTTTCAGAGAGTTATCCATGATAACTCCAAGATCTCTTTCCTCATTAGTTGTAGCTAAATTAGCCCCATCATATTTTATGTAGGGTTGGAGTTATTTTTTCCAATGTGCTTATCCACATTAAATTTCATTTGCCATTTTCTTGCCCAATCACTCAATTTGGTGAGATCTTTTGAAAGTTCTTCACAGTCTGCTTTGGTCTTGACTATCTTGAATAGTTCAGTATTGTCCGCAAACTTTGCCACCTCACTGCTTACCCCTTACTCTAGATCATTTATGAATAAGTTGAACAGGATTGGTCCTGCGACTGACCCTTCGGGAACACCACTAGTTACCCCTCTCCATTCTGAAAATTTACCATTTATTCCTACCCTTTGTTTCATGTCTTTTAACCTGTTAACTTGTTCTCAATCCATGAAAGGATCTTCCCTCTTATCCTATTGCAACCTAATTTACACAAAAGCCTTTGGTGAGGGACCTTGTCAAAGGCTTTCTGGAAATCTAAGTATACTATATCTACTGGATCCCTCTTGTCCGAATGTTTTTTAACCCTTTCAAAGAACTCTGATAGATTAGTAAGACATGATTTTCCTTTACAAAAACCATGTTGACTTTTGCCCAATAAATTATGTTCTTCTACTTGAAAAACACTAATATGTCCCCCCTCAGTCTTCTCTTTTCTAAACTAAACAAGCACAAGTCTTTCAGTATGCCCTTATAGGTCGTGTTTTCTAGATCTTTATTCAGTTTTGTTGCTTTTCTTTTGACTGTCTCCAGTTTCTCCATGTCTTTCTTGAAATGTGGTGCCCAGAACTGGACACAATACACCAAATGGGGCTTAATCGGCACAGAATAAGTGGAATAAGGATTTTTCCTGTCTTGCTCACACCACTCCTGATAATGCATCCCAGAATCTGGTTTGCTTTTTTTTGGCAAAAGTGTCACACTATTGACTAATGTTTAACTTGTGGTTCACTATGACCCTGAGATCCCTTTCTGCAGTTCTCCTTCCTAGACAGTCGCTTCTCATTCTGTATGTGTGAATCTGATTGTTCCTTCCTATGTTCCTTCTTATTCTCCTGGCTTAGCTAACTGCAGTCACCAGTCCCCAAGCTTCTCTCAGTCCCAGTCTCCTTGTCTCATCCCCTCCAAACTTCCAATCCCAGACCCAATCTCCTCTTCACTCCCATTTCCAGCTTTTTTGCCAACCAATTCCCAGTTCCTCCCTTTTCTGGCTCCTCATCCATCCTGTCTCTCTTCCCAACCTTCACCTCTGGTCTCCCTCTCCTCCGCTCATCTTCTCCATCCTCACTGGTTCCAAGGCCCACTCTCCATCCTTAGTCTCCCTGTCCAAACCCAACACTTTCGTCCACACCATCCTGGCTCCTTTCATTCAACTATTCCCAGTTCTCCCCAACCCTGTCCTGTGTCTTCAGATCTCTGCCCCTACCTTTTTCTCCTTTTCCCATGCTCCTGTCTCTAAAGGCGTGTCTAAACTACACTCTTCTGTTGGCAGAGAGATGTAGATAAGGCACATTGAAAGTTCAAATGAAGCTGGATTTAAATATCCTGCCGTTCATTTGCATAATGGCAGCTGCCACTTTTTTTCGAAACGGGGCTTTTTTGAAAAAAACGGCAGATTAGATGGGGATCTTTTGAAAATAAAACCCTTTTTCAAAAGATCCTGTACTCCTCAAAAAATGAGGTTTACAGGATCTTTCCAAAAAGGGTTTTATTTTCGAAAGATGCCCATCTAAACTGCCAATTTTTTTTCAAAAAATCCTAATTTCAAAAAAAAAAGGGCTTTGGTTCAAACTAACGTGTCCCAGCGCACACTTCCTGGTTCGAATCAGCTGTGATTCGAACTAGTGCACCGGCAAGATCATGTTAATGAAGCTTGGGATATTTAAATCCCCACTTCATGAACTACTGTACTTCGGTCGCGTACATTTGCATCCCTAGTCCGAACTAGGGAGCAAATGTAGACGTACTACCAGACTAACTCGACTACTCCTGAAGCTCATTAATAAAGATATTTAACAAAACATCCCTGGAACTGATCCTTGGGCCACTTTGCTTGAAACTGACCGCCAACTTGA